TATATATATATATATATATATATATATATATATATATATATAATTATATATAGACCTATGAATTATATATATGGGGTAAAACATGATAATTTATGCTAAACAATGACAACTTTCTTTATAGTTTTTTCTTTTTCACGTGTATATTTTTTTTTTCGTCCAGGCCGAGTAAGGTCTGATATAGTATCTGTCGACTCACTGAATATTTCACCGAATCCAGTGCGTTTGCCGGGGAAAATTAATATTGAGTTTTCTACTCAGCTTCATGGAAATCTGACGGGACCCTTGTCAGTGAAAGCCGACATATGGAAGGTGAAACGCAGACGGTTTACTACCATGCGTACTAAAATCCCCGGCTGTTGGTAAGTTACATTCACTGTGCTGGGACCATCACATTTAAAATTGAAATTGCATTAGTTCTAGTTGTATTAGTATTAATTAGTTGCATTAGTATTGGAATTTGAGATCAGAAATTTGAAATTGATGTTTTCCGAAGCTTTTTTTACTTTTTGTTTGTATGGATTGCCCTATCTTATAAATTAATGTCCTTAATTTCAACTATATTACATTTTGTAAATACAGTACTGCATTCATTACGTAATGAATACTGATTCAAGAAGAATGATAAATGTATGAAATTCTGAAAACTGATTGCTTTGTGTGAAATAGTGTGATTGCTTTGTAAAATTGTAATATAATATACGTAGGCCTATAATACGTGTGGGTATGGTACGGTGACTTGTGTCGTGGTAAAACCTCGTTTAGTCTTGACATGGAGGTTCCTCCATGGTCTTCATAATGCTAAGTCACGTAGTTTCGTACTCACTTACTCACGAAAAAAGTTGTATTTAACTCTTCAGTAACTTTGACAACTTGTGCGCTAAAGTTTCAACCCAGGAAACCTGTCCCGCTTACCTGACAGCCAATCATATCGACTGTGTCTGCCCACCAACACCAGGATTGTATAACACCTCAGTTACACCTGTTACATTTACCGTCCAGGAAATTCCACTGTACGTGGCTATGTTTGCTACGGTAAGGAATGCTGGATATGTCATATTCCATGTTATCACACATCGGTATCGTAATATATTATTATTATTATTATTATTATTATTATTATTATTATTATTATTATTATTATTATTATTATTATTATTATTATTATTATTATTATTATTATTATTATTGTTAATGGGCTTAAAAGATAATAATATTAATGATTTTTAATAGGCATAATTATAAACAAATCATGACGTCATTATTAAACAATTTCTCTCCGGTCCTCCGTGAGCCTCAGACAATGTCCGAATTTTATGGGTTGTATTTGCTAATGTACATTAAAATTCAATTTCTTTGCCCGTTTAAAAAAGAATTACGAAATCCTATTTAGTCTTGACAAGCAATGGGCCTAATTATTTTTTATGAATTATTTTCTCTTTGACCAAGGGGTCACAGTGATTCAAAATTGAATTCTATTTGAATTTAGTTTATTTTTTTATGAATGCGTTTTTCTTTTCTTTTCTTACTGCAAAATATTAAAACGATCGTGATTATTTTAATTAAAACATTATAGTGACGATGGTGGTTAATACGACGATGATGATCATGATGATAGTGATGATGGTGCACATGATTAGAATGATTTGATAAATAATGATGAATGAGTGACTTGTCTTGAATAATTACCATAATACTATAACAATGTTACAATTTATTCATCAGGGAACATTTGAAGCCCAAATAAAAGTAAGAGATGGTCCCGAGAAGCGACTGCTCTTGTGCCTGGATATTGAAGTGAGGTTGCAGGCCAGATCCCGACGTTAGAATATTTTGCGGACAGGAAAAGGAGATCGTATGGTACGGTGCATGATACAGCGCAAGTTACTGAGGGATGACGTGCTTTGCAATTTGTTTCTAACACCAAAATGAGGCTTTGTTTCACCAATTATCGCCATTCGATTAATTGGTTAATTTCGATTAGTTTACTTTCACTAACTGCAGATTTATAAAGTAATGTATTATACACGATACCTAAAGTCAAACAGGAAGTTTTGTTCCATGTGTGAGCAATGCCAATTAGGAATACTAGTAATCAATACAAAATAAATGATGTTTGATAATGTTTGAAAGGAGAATGGACACCGATTCGTGTTATTGGAAGCAGGAGATTAAACTTGTGACCGTTTCAGTGTCAATTTCACTATTGCTCAGTGTGATGAATTGTCGTGCCATTGTCACAATATAGCCTTGTACAGTTATTTTATATATGTACCCTCCTAGATAGATGTTTAAAAATAAAGATATAAATGTTAAATAGATTTATGCATATAAGAATATCTGTGATTCAAAAATAGTTCCTCATAATACCGGTACACTTGCTACTATCATGAAGTCACGAGAGTGTGTTTACGTTTACAAAGCGAAATTAAAAGTAAAATATATGTCTTTAGGTCATACATAGGAAGCTTATTATTATTAATTTTTTTAATGCGCACTTTATATGTTTGCAGTGAACTTCATGTCTAACATTTTCGGTTTGGATTGGGTGGAGACACTGGTGGACATTATGGGCATGAACATTATGTTGATTTAGTTATTGTATTGAATAACTTAATTTTAATTTGTTTTGAATAAACGGCGTTTCTTTTAACGGAAATAACAGTTGTATATAAATTGCAGTTATCATTGTTTGTATTACTACATTTTGTTGGTATAACCCTACCATATCGGCACACATATTAAACCATGCATTAAATCATTAACGTGTAGTGAATGTGTGTGCAAATGTATGTGGACACGTGTAAATACACCTGGTGATGCGAATTCTTGTGTACAAATGACGTAACTTATTACGGTCACTATCGAGTTGATACGAATAGGTAAGGATGTATTTTATTTGTTAGTTTATCACATGAATGAAGATTCTTATGGAAATAGTACAGACTATAAAAATCTGATCAGTTTGCGTCTAAAAGTTTGATTAGACATGGACAAATATAATATCATTCGTTTTAAGCTATGATTTTGATGGGATTTTGGTTAATCTTCGTCATGAACTACCGAAATAGTGGGGCTATACCGACAATCAAAATGAAGAATCGGTAAGCTAAAGTGTACTAGACCAAGACAAGTTTATTTTTTGCCTAGATCAAGTCTACTTGTACAATTGAACTGGTACAATTAAATTACTTATAGATGCACACCTGATTTTATTGTGTACTAATAAAGTAAAAAACTAAATAGGCCTAAATAATTCTTAAAATGTACTAAATTAATTAATAAAACACCCGATGGCACTCCTCGGTGGCAGGTTTTATATATACATATACTGTCTCTTATACACATCTAGATGTGTATAAGAGACAGATTTAAGAATGCACCACGTAGGTCGCTTTCTTTGTTA